GTTGTTTGTCAGAGATGATGGCTGAGGGATATGTGCACTCAGGGGAGGGCCGCTTCAACCAGAATTGCTCACATTTTCCATCCCAGGTGCCAGACATCTCTCTTCTCTCCCCACCGCAGAAGCAATGAGGGTTAGGTCACCTGGCTTAGAGGCAAACAGTTGATAGCTAGGCCCCCAAATTTCAGGCCTTTGAAGATCTGCTATTACCTTTCAATTCCCCCTCCACGGGTGAAATGGGAGCTGACTGACCAGCAGCTCTTACACTTAAGCAAAAAGGTTTCTGACTAATTTCTCACCCCCCCAGCTCGACTTTTTTTCTGCCATGAGACTGCCCATGGGGGCCCATCGACCAAACTTCCCGATGGTTTTTCTGGACAACCCTCTTTTCATGATCCTCAGATTTAACTGTTTGTGTTTGCACTGCCCAATGCAGCGGCCACTAGCCATACGCAACTATTTACACTTAAATTTATTTTGTATTTACGTATATCAGATAAATTTATATTAATAAAAGTTAGAGAAAAAAATTAACAGTTTACTTTGTTGTTTTGAGCGCTCAGTAGCCATCTGTGGCCACTGGCTACTGCTTGTGCAGCTAGAGAACATTTCCACTGTCATAGTGGACAGCTCTAATCCACACAGCCGGAAATGCCAGTATATTGGCAGCCACAGTTCCATCTCACGGACCATCTCTCTCTCATGGAAGGTCCTAAAGCTCCCTTGACCTTTCAAGTGAATCCATGTGAGTTCCCAAAATGTCAGGGCCTGTTGGGGTTAGAGGCCCCCTGGCCAAGGATGCCTCCAAAGACATGTCCTCTGTAAGATTCACGAGCGCCATGTTTGCGTGCCTGCCGTCCCCACGCAGTGGGTCACCCAGGACCCAGCCAGAACGGTGTGTGGGATCTTCGAGACTTCACTCCTTTTGTAAAGGAAGGAACTGGGCGTCCATGAGTTTCATCCAAGCCCTCAGCTCTGGCAGCCGCATGGGACAGCTGGGTGGCTGGATGTGGAATCCAGTGTTGGCAGAAGGAGGGCAGGGTAGGCCTGAGAAAACCACAGCTGGGGATGGATGCTTCTAGACCTGCCCTGCCCTCGGTGGGGGTTAGGGTGGAAAATGCTTCTCAGAGCCTCTCCACTTCCTTTCTGGACCTCTTGGAGGGGAGTCTTGGCTTCAGAGGGAAGAGAAAAGGATTCTTCTTCTTTTTTTTTTCCTCCTCCTCCTTCTTCTTTTTTTTTTTGCTTGCCCTTCCCCACTGCAGAGAGAAGGGGCACATTGGAGTAAGAGGTTTAACCAGAAGCAGTTTCTCTTTGGACCGGGGACAGTTCGTTACTCCCTGCCAGCTCCTGCAGGCAGAAAGCACGTCAGGCTGGCCTGCCGCCCCAGCCCTACCTGTCATGTGCTTGGCAAGTCCGACTTGAGTCCTTTTTTCCACTGCCTCCCTACCCCGTCACACTGCAGTTGCAACCTCTCATTTTTCTGCTGCCTAGATGATTAAAAAGCATGACTTAGTGGAAAAATCTCAACCTCCTTAGGGTCAGCCTCTTAAGCAGCTGTTGGAGATAAGATTGTGCCGGCAGAATACTCAGCCACACTCTGCAAGGCTTTCTGTCTGCACGGGAGGAAATGAGAAGCTGATCGGTTCCGGGTGCGTGTTGTTTGTCTTGGGAGAGAGCTCCAGTTTTCAGAGGTATCAATTGGTATTATTGGATACAAAATTAAAATCTTTGATGGAAAGGTGAGAATATTAGAGTGCTTTTTTTAAAATTCAGGGAGCAAACTTTGTCAAGGAAAAAAGAGTTTTTTTGTTTTGTCGTTTTTTTTTTTTTGTTTTGTTTTGTTTTTTTTAACGGCACCTGCTTTGAGCAATTCAGGGAGCAAAGTTCTCTGGCAACTGAGCAGTATCAGAAATTCAATGCTCAGCCTTCCCCCAAGGATTTAAGAGACTTAATTGTGCAGCTCCTGGTAGGGAAGGCATTGTTTGGAGTTATTTTAATTACCATGTGAGAATTGCCACCTCTTGCTTACTGAATGCGTACTTACTGTCATCTTGTTGATACAGCTCCAAAGAGGACATTCCGATTTTAATTCAGCATATGTCCTCAAAGCATTTTCTCATCTTTGTGTCTGCCAAGAATTTGTACCCATCTGGTGAGACGCGAAGGTCGCTTTGCTTTTCAAAAGGAGAAACTGAGTCACGGGCAGTTGAGAGGACTTGACTGGGGTTATGGAAGTGATGTCAAGGACACAGTGAGGACCTGGAGTCTGTGGCTCTACGCAGTGTGTTATCCAGTGAGCACCTCATCTGAAGTCCTGCAGGTCTGAGGGCAGGTCCCCATTCAGCCACTTCCTAGCTATGTGGCCTTGAATAAGTTGCTTGCTTTCTCTGTGCTTCAGTTTTCCCTTCTGTAGAATAGGCTCACACTACAAAATACTTAATAGGATTATTGTGAAGGTTGAGCTTCTGCCCAACAAATGTGCCTGGCTTCTCTTCTGTCAGCACCATCATCTTTTTAACATCCTAACCCCCTAATTTTAGTTAAAGACCTATTCCCAGCCTGAAACAAAATTACACGCTCTCCACTCCCACCATGCTTCTCATCTTCCTACACCTGGCCTCCCTGTGTCTTGTCCCTTTCGCTCTTCCTTGGCTCGGGCGATCATAATTAGAATCCGGTTGCTGGGACGTCACAGGTGGGTCAGAGGGTAGAGACAGGTAGGTCAGAGGGTAGAGGCAGGGGCCAAGGTCTGCGCTGAGCCAGGTGTCCAACTCCTTTTGACATTTCATAACTCTGTCGCAGGCCCGGAAGATTTAGAACAACTCTCTAGACCAGGAATCTTATCTTCTAGACCAGGAAGCTCATCTTTAAAAGGCTGCGCTGCCCAGAGGTCATCCTGGCACCTGAGCTGGACGGTAGTTGACGCCAAGTCTTGCCCACCCTCCCTGGTCAGTTTTCAATCTGTAAAATGGGCATCCATTCACTTTTCAAAAGGCCGAAGCCCTGAAAACAGCAGATCTAGGTTTGAATCCTGGCCCTTCCATGTGTCTCAGAGCCCAGGATCTCACGGCTCCTCAGGCGTGGTCAGGCCTTTGTGAGGTGAGGTCTGAAAGAGCTTTGCAAACTGTAGCGTGCTTTCCCCTGGCTGGGTTTCCCCTTCCTCACTCCCAAAGCTCGTGCGTGGAGGGCACCTGTGTTTCACCCCCATGGAGGGGCTCCAGGTCCAGTGAGGAGCAGTGAGGACAGGCCAAATAGACAACTTGACCCTCTCCCTGCTCAGCCCATCAGATATGTGTGCCCAGCATAGATCCGGGGCAGAACCACGAGGTCGGCTGCATCAGGAAGAGAAAGGCTGGAGTGGGGGGGACTACTTTTGCCCCAACTCGTCTAGCTCCTCCTCTGGTTCATTTTCCTCCCAGCTGCCATTCCCATACTTTTTATGAGCCTGTTAAGTCTTTAATGATGCTGGGTTGTGCAGCTGGCTTAAGGCTTAATCCCAGCAATAGGGCTTTATTGGATAAATGGTTAATAATCACTTGTCTACAGGGATTGGGGAGGTTCGTTGAGGCCCGTGACTCCCGAAAGCCCCATGTGGCCTGTGACGTGGCCTGTGACATGGTCTGTGGCTGAGCCAGCACTGCTGGGGGCTGGGGTGCAGGGAGATCGGGCACCACAGGAGCTGGGAAGGCCTGAGTTTATAGGAGACATTTCTTCTCTCTCCTGAGAATACAGGACGCTTGCCCGTTGCTGGGGGCCTGTCTTGATCGGTGCCTGGTTCAGGCAATACCCAGGCTCACTTGCAAATGTTGTCTCCCCCCACTCCCGATTTTGCTTTCCTTTCTCTTGCTGTTAACAGGCTGTGTGACCTTGAGCAAACCTCCTGTCCCCTCTGGCCATTGGTTTCCTCATCTACCAAATGGAGACATTGGAAGAGATGGCCTTGAAGGCGCCACGTAGCTCTCAATGTCTGTGTCCTGTGAGCCTCAGTGTCCCAGACAGAGGCTCCTCTCCCCCGCTCTTGGGGCTGTCACTGAGGGCTGTGGATGGCAAGGGACCAGCAGCCCATCGGATTAAGTATTTAAGCTGCTGGGCCAAGAATTGGGTCAGCTGTAGCCACAGGGCAGTGTGTATGCAGGGAATCCGCAGATCCCCTCATGGCCCTTGATTTTATGGCCTGGTGCGGGGTTTCTCCCAGCGCTGGGTGGTACACACAGTAGGCGTTAAAAAAAACAGCCTCACTGACGGGACTCTGAAAAGACTTCCAGGGGTAGAACCGCCAAGGAGCCAAGAGCTTTTCACAGCTGAAAAATTCTGTTCATGGCTTCCCTGTGACTGCGGCCATGCGAGCGCACGTCCCTGATCAACCCTGATTTGGCCTTGACTTAAGAGTCACAGCGAGATCAGGACCCATCTATGTGAGGGGCGGGGTGTTAGCGGGTCATGCGCACGGGGCTCCAACGGACCCCGGTTTGAATCCCATTCCTCTACCACTCATTTCCAGGCTGTATGGTTTGGGCCACCTCCTTCTTCAAACCCGAGTCTTTAAGAGAGTATTAGCAACAGGTGTTTTCAGCACGACTGTACTGGTTCAAAACGATGTATGTAGAGCATCTGGAAACTGGCTCCTCCTAGGCACTGATGGTCACCCTGAGGGGTAAGGGGCATCAGTGCTAAGGTACTTGCGGCCACGCTTTTGGCTGCCAGGGTCACGTGCTGGCTGCAGGCAGGTGCGGCGTACTATGGATGACATGATTTTAAGTTCTTTTATCTGCAAGTAAAAGACAAGAAAAGCTACGAACAGAGCCACCCCACAGATTTGGGGGCACTGCCCTGGAAACTTGCAGCTTCAGGATTAAAGTCTGCTGGGGGCCGGTTTCCTGGGCCCCAGAATGTGTGTGTTCCCTGGCTCCTGCTCAGTCCTCCCCGTGTATGTGCAGCAGAGGAACGGGATTTCTCTTTTCGGGGACTGTAGGTGATGGGGCCTTGCTCTGCTTTTCTTTTAGATCTTCCCCGACCCGTCGGACTTTGACCGCTGCTGCAAGCTCAAGGACCGCCTGCCGTCCATCGTGGTAGAGCCCACGGAGGGCGAGGTGGAGAGCGGGGAGCTCCGGTGGCCCCCCGAGGAGTTCTTGGTCCAGGAGGATGAGCCGGACAACTGTGAAGAGACAGAGAAAGACAACAAGGAGCAATAGAGTCCCTGTCGACTCCCTCGGGGGCCACACCAGACGGCATCTGTCCCAGAACTGTGTTCTTTCCCATTGTGATGGAAGAAGGGAGTGAGCCACAGTCGTTCTGAAAATGTCAAATGATGGCTTCCGTTTTGCACCTGCAAATCACCGAGTTGGTTTTCTTTTCTTTTCTTTTCTTTTTTTGAAACGTGCTGGGCAGTGGAGCCCTCTGCGACCATTTGCAAGGCCTTCTGAGAAAGGAAGCTGCTTAGAGCAGGGGTGGGGGGTGCGGGGAGGGAGGCGGTGCATCTTCGAGATGGGTATCTGAATGGGCGCAGGCTAGAGGCAGCGGCGGGATTCCAGGGGGCCCTGGGGGACTGGGGAGGGGGGTAGGGAGTTGTGCATCGCCAGTAAGAAACATTCAGGTTAAGAGAACCAATGGGAGACAGGAGACGGAAGATAAAATACCCGTTTGAAAGGAAGCCTTGAGCAGAGGAGGGCCTCTGGGAAGTTGCCTGCCAGTGGCTGCTGGGGCATCCGAAAACAACACGTTCCTCACTCTCTCCAGCTCTGCCCACCACCAGCCTTTGCTTTTATGTCAGCTATGTTGGTCTGTTCACGGGAGGCTGGGAAAGAAAAGCAGCAGAAACCGGCATCTGCAAAGCCGGCTGGAGGCAAGCGTGGGAAAGGAGGATTCCCGGCTCCTCCTCCAGCCTCTGCTCTGGCTGTGGCAGGTTCTGGAGGTTTCTTAAGAGGCAGCACTCTTGAGCTTCTCTCTCCTGATTTATCCTTTTGCCCTCCCCCAGCCCTTTAGGAGGAACAGGAGCACTTCCCACTCTGGTGGGGACACTGAGGTGGACGCTGGACATGAAGACCCCTCCCCCCTGCTCCCCCAGGCTTGCTCTGTTCTGAGCAGAGGCACAGAGCCCTGGCTGGCTCTACCAGGCCGGCCCTCCTTCTCCTTAGCACCATCTCTGCAGCCCCTGGGCCGAGCAGTCAGGCGGAGGTGACTCCCAGCCTGACCCGCGGTGGTACCCACTCCCGCATGGGCTCCCAGTCCCTTTTTCTGGTGGGAGCTGAGTGGAGAGAAGAGGAGACTCTTTCTGTTTCTTGTTGGGAAAGTGAGCTTTAAGGGAGGTCCTAGATCTGGGATTATCTGATGGGGGTAACAGGGCTCTCATGCAGCAGCCTGGGGACTAAGCGTGAAACTGAAGGGGTCATGAGATCCCCCTGGTTTCTCCTTGTGCTCTGGACGTAGGTAGATGGATGGCATGGTGAGGGAGCACTGAGTATTGGTCCTCATCCCTCTCTGCCCCTCACTTGTCCCCTACAAGGGCACAGTTGCACGAGAAAGCTAGCCTCGGACTTAGAGCTTCTTATAGTTAAGAACCATCTGGAGCAGTCGGTTGCAGGACACACTCTTGGAACCTTCTCTAGCTTTCAGCACAAGTGTGCAGCTGAGAGCTGAGCTCCAGAGCCTCCTGGAGGCTGAACTGGGCCCACGGAGGCACGCTGGTAGCCCTCCCGTGGGTCTGGGTTGACCCCAGTTTGGGACTTGTGTATAGAGCTGTATTTAATACCTCAAGGTTAGTGGGGTTCCGGGGATCTGGGGCAGGATGGGGGTGTGTGGTTGACATCGCGGCAGGATTTGGTTCTGGGAAGCTGACGCTTGCCTCTCCGCCCCGCCCCCCTCCACCCGTGTTGTCTGCTTGTGTTACACACACCGATGGCAATAACTTCTTCCAGCTCCTTGGGGCTGGGAGAGGCCTGCAGCCTGCCCCGCCAGGGCGTCTCTCCCGTGCTCCCGCTGGTCCTGTTTTGGCTGCACAGACTCCTCCCTCCTTCCTCATGCCCTCGCAGCAGCATTTCTTCTCCTGCACCTGCCTCCCTTCGTGGATGGACTCTTGCCTTTTAAAATCCTGTGTTTCTGTGTCCCTCTCATCTGTCCTGGTCTTGCCGTGTGATGGGAACGTGCTTGTAAACTGCATAACAAATCTATTTCGTGTATATGTGTGTTTATGGGGGTGACTTGTTATTTCGTCGGTTGCTAGACACCTTTGTATGACCCTTTGGAGTCCGAGCAGGCCGAGGGCTGGCAGCTCGAGTCGGGACCTGCAGCAGCGAGCCTGTGGGAGGGACCCAGCCACTCCTGGACAAGTGGCTGAGCTCCTATCTGGCCTCTTTTTTTTTTTTTTTTTTTTTTTTTTTAAGTAACTTGTGTGTATTTCTAACTGATCATATAAAAAAAAGTTAGTATTTCAGTAAAAATGCCTGTTGTAAGATGAACCTCCTGTAACTTCTATCTGTTCTTTTTTGAGGCTCAGGGAGAAACTAGCATTTTTTTTTTTCCAAACTACTTTTTGTCACTGTGACAGTTGTAAATAAAGTTTGAAAATGCTTTCCACTCTGGTCTAGTTCCCTTCTTTCTTCCACCTCTGCTGGAACTGGCAGAGCACAGCCCTGAGATGCCACGTTCATGGGAGGCTGAGTCAGGAGGAGATCCAAGTGAGGTTCTGGATGTATCTTGCCTGTTGGCCCTTCAGGGGTGAGTCCATCCATGGGTTTTAGTCACTTGGCTGAACAAAAGCAGCCTTCCCTTCTGTGCCAGCAGTTTTCAACCCTAGATGTACATCAGAATCACCAGGAAAGCTTTTTAAAAAGTACAGCTATCTGGATTCTACCCCCAGAGACTTGGATTTCAATGGGCTAGGATGTGGGCTGAGCACTAATTATTATTTATTTATTTTTTTTTAGAATCATGGGGAACTTTCAACACCCAGCCACAGTTTTAAGTCACCTTTCTTAGGGAAGACAAACACCCATGATATCTTAAAAGGTCATTCACAAAGACTCTGGGGGAGGAGTGGATGGGCTTGTATACAGCTAACAAGAGCTCTCGTAGCCATTCAGAACATTGACTGAGTGCCTATGATTTGTCAGACATCGTTCACAGATTGAGATAAACACCATTAACCATAGTCCCAGCCCTCACTGCGTTGCTTTAGTGTAAATTAAATGACAAGGATGGTAAGGGCCACACAGGAAAAATAGAATGCCCTGAGAGTATCTGTTGGAAGGGCCAAGATGGACCTCCAAAGAAGGGGGTGAGGTGCACAGAGAGAGTGCTAATAGCAGAGAGAAGGCTGGGGATGAGCTTAACTAGTGGGGGTGGGGAAGGAGTGCCAGGAGGGCTGCTAATGCCTTGGTGAAGAGTTTGGATTTTATTCTATGTGCAGGGCATAGAATGGTATCATTTACATTTTTTTTATGCCATCTCTGTGGAGATGGGATTGGAGGGGACAAGATGGAAGGCCCAGAGTTCAAGAAGGAGGCTTCATGGAGGTGGGAGTAAAAGAGATGGTGCTTTGTGGAAAGAGTTTTCTGACATTTTCCAACCTAAGGCTGGATATTTTTGCCTTTACTTAGCCCATATCTGGGTTCGTAACTAGTGAGTATAGATAATCAAGTGATCTGTGCTGAGGATGTCTCCCAGGATTAATAGAATATGAGTCCATTTTAACATTAGCCTAAATAAAACTATCAGATTTACAGATCTCCTGCCCTGAGAATAACTTGCAGCCTTGTGTCATTCTCATCCTGGATTGTCCCTCTATTTCCTTCCAACAGCCTGAGGATGGAGTTTATTAGAACACAGCCTTCTTAGAGATAGCCCCTCATAAAATGGTCTTTATTCACAGATAACATCATCTATATAGGAAAATAAATCCACCAAAAAAACCCCACCAAAAACCCACCAAAAAACCCTCCCCAAAACAAAAAAACAAAAAACCTACCAGAACTGACAAAATGAGTTCAGCATGGTTGCAGGATCTAAGATCAATATACAAAACTCAGCTATATTCTATATACTAGCAATGCACAATTAGAAATTGAAATTTAAAATACCACTTACATGAGCATAAAAAAATATGAGGTATAGGGATAAATCTGACAAAAGATGTGCAAAATCTGTTCAATGAAAACTACAAAACACTGTTGAGAAAAATTAAACTTACAAACAGGTATACCATGTTCATGGATCTGAAGATTAGCCGTTGTTAAGATGGCAGTTGTCTCCAAATTGATCTATAAATTCAACAGTCAAAATCCAGCTAGCTTTTTTTTTTGCAGAAATTGAGAATCTGATTCCGAAATTCATATGGAAACACAAAAGACTTAGAATAGCCAAAACAACAACTTTGAAAAAGAACAAAGTTAGAGGACCCAAATCTCATCATGAAACCTATTACGAAGCTACAGTAATCAAAACAGTTTGGTATTTGCATCAAGACAGACAAATTGATCTGTGGAACAGACCAGACAGTCCAGAAATAGACACAAATATAGCCCATTGATTTTGACAAAAAGTGCCAAGGCAACTCAATGTAGAAAGAAGTCTTTTCTACATGTGGTGCTAAAACAGTTGTGTGTCATATGCAAATATCTCCTGGGGATAGAAACAAAGTCTTCACTTCTGTTTCCCATTGTCTCCATGTGAGTTTCTAAATAGAATAATTACTCATTTAGAGAAAAAAAAATTTCCTCCTCTATGGCCAATTGCTTCAATACTGTCCTTGCTTTATCCCAGTTCACCTCCTCTCTCTGTAAAAGAAGAGTAACCTTGCTGTGTTATTCAGGCTGACTTGCATTCAAGGCCTACTCAGTCCCTCCACATGTAATTTGGACCCATTTCTTAATGTCTAGCAACCACAGCATTCTTTTCCTAGTACTAGGAAATTTTGAGCACTCAGTAGGTGCTCCATAAGTCAAGATTTTTTCTCTCTTCCCTTTAAAGATCTGGCAGTTAAGAAACTAGTCCCTGCCTTCTGTCCCCTGCTATTTGCTCAGGATCATTTGTACACACACAGTCAAGGGAAACCTCAAGGTGAAGACCCCTCCTTTCCTGCAAATGCAACTCCATGTTCATCACCACGAGAGAGAGAAAGCAGGAAAAAGAAAAGAATGTTAATGTCTTATCTTCTTTCCACCAAAATACTGGAGAGGGAAGAGGGAGACAGTGCCCACCAAGATGGGCCTATTTCCTGGCTCCTTTTTAAAGAGGTGATTCTTGGTCAGAGACCTATTTGAAGTGATGGTTGAGTTTTGTGTATACTGGGGAGAGATTCCAGGTGGGGGTGATAGTGCATGCAAAGGTCCTGTGGTAGAAATTGACTTGATTTTTTTGAGGGATGTCTGTGAAACTAGCATGGCTGGAGTAGAGGGAAAGAGAAGTAGCTGAGGTCAGATACCACAGAGCAGAATGGAGAATCACTGTTGCCCATTGTGAGAAGCCCACTGGGGAAGGAAGCAGACTTATAGGACATCCCAGCTCCTGGAAATCCACCGGTCAGCCCATCCAAAGTTGTCTGATCAGTGGCAAATTACAGTCATTATTAATTGACCTGAGGCACTGTCACATTCTGTAGGGGTTTCTAGATCATCAAGTGAGGATTAAGCTAAGTAGAATTATATTTGTACATCTATCCTTCAGTTACTAAAATGTGATTATGGCTTCAGAGAATAGGCTTGGAGATTGGATTCCTGAATTTGTAGCTCAGCCCTGCCTCTTACTAGCTGTGTGACCTTGGGTAATTTGGTTTTCTTCTCTGGGCCTCACTTTCCTCCTCTATGAAATCAATTCCTACTTCACAGAGCTGTGGTGAGATTTAACACATCTTTATAAGTAACATGCTTAGAACTATACCAGGTACATAGGAAGCACTCAAAATGTTAACCATTGTGGTAGGCAGAATAAAGATGCCCACATCCTAATCTCAGGAACCTGCGAATGTGCTGTGTTTCATGGTAAAAGTGGCAATTAAGGTTGCAGGTGGAATTAAGGCTGCTAATCATCTGACTGGCTTGGGAGACCCTGGATTACCCAGTTGAGCCCAATCGAATTGCAATGGTCCTTATCACAAAACGGGGAAGCAGAAGCGTGAGTGCCCCAGTCAGAGAGAGTTTCCTCCGTGAAATGCTGCTGGCTTTGAGGATGGAGGAAGGTCAATTAACCATGAAATGTGGGTGCCCCTGGAAAATGGGAAAGACCAGGAAAAGATTCTCCCTGAAGCTTCCAGAAAGCACACAGCCCTGCCAGCACCTTGATTTTAGCTGAGCAACACCCATTCCAGACTTCTGACTTCTAACACGAGAAGATATTAAGTTTGTGGTAAGTCATAAAATTAGTAGTAATTTGTGACAGCCACCATGGGAAATGAATACAGCCATTATTATTATAAATATGGTGAGGATGAGGATACAGACTCCTGTGTGGCCTCAGAGAGCAGGGTGGTCACGAACGGGAGAAGGTTCCAGTCAGACTCTACTCTGAGGGGTCACCAGGCGGAGGAATCCGTCAGACGGGGAGGGGGGCAACCATTGCACTGGACTGGATAAATTTGAAGCTGTAAAGCCCTTATTCTAGAATTTTGAAAATTAGTGATTAGTGTAGGATATATTTGTCGGTATAGTCTAGGAATCAGAATATTTATCAAAATACTCCCTTTCTCTCTTCTGTCTGCATAGACAGTCCTGCTTTGAAATGCAATCCATTTGCAATACTTTCTTTGCTATTTCCAATTAGAAAAACACGAATTCCCTCTTCCGTTTACACCGCTCATAGCTGGGCTATAAGCTGCCTTCTAATTCTCAACAGTTTTGCAAAGTGTTTTTTGTTTTTTGTATTCCCCCCCCCCACCCCGTACAAACTCCATTTAGCAGTGATGGAAATAACACAAGATAGTGGAGTTTGGGACCTCATTTCAAATCCCATCACAGAGGCAAATAATTATTTGCATTTTTGTTTCCTTCCAGTCATTGTCCCTCTTACCAGACTGTCTTCAGTGAATAGAATTTTTCCCATGAAGTGGGCATTTTTTAATGTTATTTACAGATGAGGAAGCTGAGGTCAGAAGGCTTCAAGATATACTGACTGCGGAACCAGAAAGAGCAGGGTGGGAAGCACCATTGCACCAGTAAGTGTGTTAAGGGCTGGTTTTCCAAGGGCGGGGGCGGGGGGGGGGAAGCCCTGATTTGGGGCATTTGCCATCTTCCATGCTGTAAATGTCCCCCCGGGGCTGATTCATGGGCAAGCCACTCAGGCTTGGGGAGTCTCAGCTTCCTTTTCTGCAAAATGAACAGAACTCCAAACCAGGGCAGTGCCTGGTTCAGAGGACCTCCAGAACCCCCAGCGCCCT